CACGAGAATCAATATTTAATCTGTTTATGTCTTGCCTACATAATCTGTTTTTTTTTTGAATGGTTCAACCTAAGAAATATATTATATGCTAATTGGTATATATTTTTTGATGAACAAGATAATGACGGAAATATCGAAGGCAAAATGGTAACTTCTAAAGATGTCTGGAAATTTCAAAACAGTAGAGTGATTGTACATTTTGACGAAGATAGCGCTCAACCAATTGGAGAGTCAGGAGGTCTACTAGGATCTTGGCTAGGTCAATTAAGCAATGATGTGAATTTGCTGCCCATCAACTACAGTGATTGGAGGATGGTTAATCCTCACATAAAAAAAAAAGCGTGGGAAGTAATTCAGGTAACACATAACATCTCTATCAATTGTTATAATCTTGAGCTGTTTTTAAGATATTATTTTGATATCATAAATCATTTCTCTTTTATTTTAGTCCAAATTCAGGTTTGATGATCCAGAAATGAGAAAATCATTTGTGATGGGAGCATTAGGCAGCAGGTGCAAGGATGTCAAACTACGACTTTGGAAAGAGTATAAGCGAAATACTCTAAGTGAGACATTGCAGAATCGACCTGAGAAGGTTTCAGAAAATCAATGGGGTCATTTCGTTCATATGAGATTCACTGAAAAGTGGAAGGTACAGTTGATTCATTATAATTATATTAGTTATATATAAAATATTAAGTAAGTATTTATGTATGTGAAATTTCAGAAAATGCAAGAGCGAAATATCAAAAACCAGAAAAAACATACCATGCCTCACGTCTGTGGAAGAAAAAGTTTTTCAAGAAGAAGAAATGAGATTGTAAGTAAATTTAATTTCAGTATAAATCTAGTTTAATTAATATACTGATTTTTTTATATTTTTATGCATGTATTTTACAAGAAAATAAAGACCGGAAAAACACCACGTCGAGCAGAGTTTTTCATCGAGACTCGCACAAAACCTAATGGAAGCTTTGTATGTGAAGAAGCAAAAGAACGCGCGGTTAGTTTTATTTACAAAATTTGTTGATTAATGAGTTGATGATACTAGATATTTATTTGTTATTTGTTTATTAGGAAGCTCTTACTGTATTGTTGAGCCAAAA